CTGTGGCCACCACCTCCGGCGAAGTAGCTACACTTTTACAGAGGCCTCTGGGGCCCAGAGATGAAAGGCGATGGCAGAATGACCGCGCCTGCTGGCCGGCTTGGGCCAGATCTGCCAGCCCCCAGCGCCCTCGGGCCCTGGAAAGCAGCGGTCTGTATCCGGGAAGGCGCCCTGGAGGAGGTGGCGGCCGGCGGGGAGGGGCCGTGGGAACCGGCGGGAGCCCCGCTGGCCGCGCTCACCGCGAGCTTCCGTCCCGGGCGCGCAGACAATGGGGTCGCTGTGCAGGCGCCCCCTCCCTCTCCCCAAAGCTGCTTTCAATTTAAACGCCTCCAACCAGCGTTGCTGCCCCGGGGGGCGCGACCGCAGCGCCTAGCGCCCCTGTAATTTCCGCGGGGAGCTGACCGGCTCAAACGCGGTGCCCCGACCGCAGCCCGGGACCGGAGACGGCGCCCAGACGGCCCTGTCCGGGTCGTGGGAGCCGCAGGGCCGGGCGCCGCCTCCTCCAGGCAGTACCCCCGCATGCCTGCTGCGCTGGGCCCAGCCTCGCTCGCCTCCCTGGAAGGGTTGCGGAGGGGGCGGCTGGGATCCTGAGGTCGGGGGTACCAGGTGCAGCAGCCGCTGTCACGGAGGGAGGGGCTCCCTGATGGCCAGCGTAGGGGTCTGGAGCTGGAGACAAACTCAGCCATCTCTGGCTATGCTGCCCAGGGTGGAGATCTTCCTGCCTCAGGCTTCCTGGAATCACTGGAGGGCTGGCTAGACTAAGAGTATTTAAACATGGCGTGGTGGCACATGCCTGTAATCCCAGCACTCAGGAGGCTGAAGCAGGAGGATTGCTACGAGTTTGAGGCCAGCTTGGGCTACATAGTGAATTCAATGATAGCCTGAACCACACAGCAAGACCTTGTCTTCAAAAACACAAAAACAAAAACAGAATCAACAGTATTTAAAGTGGCTAACTTGGCTGTAGTGGTGCATGCTTGTGAACTCGGGACTCTGGAGGCTGAGGCAAGAGGATTGCTGAGGCTGAGACCAGCACAGGCTACATAGTGAGTTCAAGGCCAACCTGGACTACATAAATAAACAGATAATACACAGCTAGCCAGTGCTATGATTGGCTCCGAGGTACCTTTCTGCAAAGGTGAGGCTGGCCCAGAAGCGGTCAGCCACCCCTCTGCCTTCCTCCGGGTGTACCATGCCCGCTCATGGCTCTCCCTGCCTGGTGGGGAAAGGAAGGGTCACCTTCTTCCCCTCTGGGTCTCTTTTCCCCCAGGGATGTTCTAGAAAGTGAGTCCAGGGGGCTGGGAGTCCTTGAAGGCAGAGGGGCATTGAGGAAAAGTCCAGAGGCAGACCAGAGTCTGGCCACCTCAGTGGTGGGTGCGGCAGGGTGTCCAGCTATAGAGCATGGTCCAGGGAGGCAGGGCGGCTGAAGCCACCGGTCACAGGAGCCTGGAGTGGGGATGGCACAGCCACGCTGCCCAGATGCCCTCCTGGCTGGCAGTGGTCACAGTGGCCCTGTCCCCCTGGCTGGAGCTGCATCCCCACTTCCCTTACCCTCCACTGGAACTAGGGAGGTGCGTGTGTGCCTGCATGTGTGTGTGTGTGTGTTTGTGCATGCACTCGTGTGTGTGCGCAGCTGGGGGGCCCGGCTGGTTTGTCCCAAGTGTTCTGCTCCACCTTGTCCCCTCCACCCCCCTCCGCCCCGCTCCATGTCCCAAACTCCCCTCTCTTTCCAGCCTGGCTGTTGCGGTGAAGCCAATCAGAAGTAATTATGGGGGAGAAAGGGTTCCTGAGAGGGACCCTGCAGAGACCACCTCATCCGCCCCGGCCCAGCCCTGGTGGCCCTGGTCCTCCGGGCCCAGGCCTGGCTCAGCCCTGCTTGCTGAGGGTAAACCCACCACGACTGCCACCTCGCCAGCCCCTGAGCCACAGGTATCTGAGTGTGCCTCCCTCCGCCTGCAGCTGCCCCACATCCTTCAGCATCCCTGGGGCCCCTCGCTGGGAGCTGGGTTCAGACTGTCCCTATGGCTGCCAGGACTTGGGTCAGGGTACACATCGCCAGGGAGCATCCTGGGGAAGGAAGGGCCCTGCAGAACCACCAACCTCTCTTCCACCCACTGAGGCCAGCAGGCAGAGCACCCCAGCTGCAGATCCACGAGGGCCTTGGTGACTTCTGTCCCTTCCTCCCTGCTGTGGCCCTCAGTGTCCGGCCCAGGGGAAACAAGGTGTCAGCCTGAGCCTGCTGGCTCCCTTTCTGACCACCTGCGCTACCTCAGCAGCTGCCTCCCCTGCTTTCCAGGGGCCCCCAATCAGTCCCTCCCTGAGGTCTGGGCCCCAAACTGAAAGAGGCCTTGGAGTTGTGCTGCCAGCGGGAGCAGATGAAGGCCTGTTTCTGATGCCTTCTCTGCTGCTCTTTCCAGGGCGGGCAGTGCCTTCCTCCGTGCCCAGCTGTACCCAGGAGAACAGAGGTACACACCAGGCTCCCTGCTATCATGCCTTCCTGCCACGCCCCACAGCCAGTGCCCCAAGACCACTGTGGAGCCGGAGGGACCCATGGAGGGTCTCTAATTTGCTCCTGCCCCTTGATGTCCAGGGAAAGCAGGCCTCCCATGCCCAAGAAATTTCCAAGCATAAACAGAGGTCAGTGCCCCCCTGGCCCTGGCCCGGAGGTGCCAGGGTGGTAATTAGGCTTGGGGGTGCAGTCCAGGAGGGTGGGGAGCCGAGCTGGGGAGAGGAGCTGTGTGGTCCACAAATGGGCGGTTTGTAGGTGGTCTGTGGGATGAATGAGCCTGGAGGGAAGTGGGGGAGCAGGGGGAGGGCACAGGGATGACAGAGTCCTCCCTACTCCTTGGTCCGAGCCCCCTGCCCTGGGCAGGGTGCAGGCTGAGTCAGGGGCTCAAGTGCCCCCTCTGCTTCTGGAAGGGAGGGAGGAGGGAGAGGAGGTGGAAGTCCCGCTGGGCAGGGTAGGTGGTGGCTAACAGCGCTCCTGTCTTGTGAGCCTGTCCTGTGTCATCCCCACAGCCAGGTCCCACTCCTCTCACTGCAGGGACAGTTTGCTCCTTGAGCTAAAGGATTCTTTGCCTCTCAGTCCCATGGGAACCATAGATCCACTGGTCAGCTTGTCCTCTGGCTCCTAGGGGACCCCTGGCTCGGCCCCACCCACCATTGCTCCGGTCAGTCTGCAGACACCACACTGAATCAGCGACTGTATCTCCCCGAGCATCCTCTGTCTCCTGACCTTCCATGTCGGCAACACAGGACACGTAACTGCCACATGAGCTAAGCCAGCCCAGGGCCAGGGCGCAGGGAGTGGCAGGCACAGTGGTGACACGAGGTGCCTCCAGTCCGGGTGCCCAGTCTCTTCCCGGGATGACCACCCAAACCCAGAACCTGCCTGTGACCTCTGCCATAGGAGCCAGGCGGGGCGGTGGCTGGAAGGAGGTGGGGTGGGGCTGCAGGGACCGTCCAGTGGCATCCTGCCCGGGCCCTGGGCACATTCCTCCCCTGCACGCACCGCCTGCCCAATACCACCTGTACCACCAGCAGCACCTCAGAACTGGCTCTGCAGCAAGATGGCATGCAGGGTGATGGCCAGACATGGCACCCCCAAAGAAAGAGGTGACCTTGGCGTCGGGTCAGCGCAGCTAGCCTTCTGGGCACCACTGGAGGAGCTCGTGTCTGCGTCCTGGTTTCATCCTGTGTCCCTCTGTGGCAGGCGGCCTGGGGGTGCCCTGAGAACAGGCCCGGGTCTCTGCTCTCAGCAGGGGTGCAGTGGGGAGGGATGTGGGCCAGCTCCCCAGTCTCTCAGTCTCTCGGAACTTTCCCAAGAACCAGGCCCAAGGGGGTGGGGGGCTGGGACTGGATGGTTCACAAGGACCTCTGTGGTGGGTTCTGCAGCTTCCTCCTGAGCTTGTGCTCAGATCCAAGATTCCCTCCTGATGGGAAAGTCCCAGGGGAAGCCACAGGGTGCTGGGAGGCCTGGGAAGCTGCCCGTGCGGGGGAGGCATAGCCAGGGGGCTGCCTCGGGCTCAGGGTCATGCCCAGATGCCCTCACCCACCTCCCTGCCCTCTTCGAGGCCAGCCAGGCTGCCCTCTTCCCGTCCCTGTTCTCTGTGTGCTCCATCCCAGGAAGCTGGGGTGAGGGAAGAGGGAAGGGCATGGGGTGTTGTAGTGGGCGCGCTGCTAAGGTAGAAAGGTCCCTCTTTCTTCCCACAACTGCAGGCAGACCAAAGCACAGGCTGCAGGGGGCGCCCCTGGGAGGCTGGGGCATTAGATGCCAGCCCCTCCCCCTGCTCACCCTAGATCCACTCCACCCCAGGAGAGATCTCCTCTTGGAGCCCCCCAGAGTGAGGCCAGAGCTCAGAGGGCTCTCCAGACACCCGGGGAGCTACGGAGTACGGAGCACGGAGCTCAGAGGGGAGGGGACTTTCAGGGACGCAAGTCCAGGCCTCTCTGCATCTGCTCAGAGGCTGTCTCTCCTGTAAATGGCACTGCCCACAGGGCCTACTGTGTGCAATCCACAGCTCCATGAGCGTGAACTCTCAGCTGTCAGGGGCAGGGCTGCCACGCCCCAGACAGACTCAAGTTCAAGGTGAAACCAAGCACAGACTAGGTGGGAGAGGCCAAGAGACATTCACTCCCAAGAGAGTGGTGGTACATGTTTGTAGCCCTAGCACTCAGGAGGCTGAGGCAGGAGGATCCTCAAGGCCAGTCTGGACTACAGAGTTAAATATATATATATATATATATATATATATATATATATGTATATATATATATATATAGAGAGAGAGAGAGAGAGAGAGAGAGACAGACAGACAGAGAGAGACAGACAGAGAGAGAGAGAGAGAGAGAGAGAGAGAGACAGAGAGAGAGAGAGACAGAGAGAGACAGAGAGAGAGAGAGACAGCCTCCACCCCAGGTATTAGAAGGTTTCTCGGTCCCCATCTGAATCTGTCCCACTCTCACTGTAACTTCCCCTAGACACCCAGAATTCAGCACCGTTATCAGGATGTATTTATTTATGGGATTATGGATCAGTTCTCCCTCCCAACATCTTCAGCCCAGGAGCCACTGAGGGCACTGGCAGGTCCATGCGGGCCACAGGAGGTAGCTGGGGTTGAAGGGGACCCAGGCTGGCCGGGTGAGCTGGCACCAAACCAGGGCCAACTGTCAACGCCAGGCAACGCCGGGACTTTATCCTATTGGCCATGGGGAGCCATCAAAGGCGTCTGAGCGTGAGCATGGCGTGCAGAGACCTGTGTTCTGAGGAGTCTCGGTGGAGTGCGGAGGAGGGGCAGGAGGAGGGGAAGGAGGACCTGGGGGGCGCTCCGCACCCCCACCTCCAGCGAGGGGTGCAGCCACTGTTGCAACAGACTCAGGAAGGAATGAGCTGGGGCTCGGATTCAATCCGGAGCAGCGGAAGCGAAGAAAAGGGTACCACTAGTGCTGCCAAAGGAAGGGGACTTGGTGGCCCGTAGGTGGGGAGGATGGTGGAGCATTAGGATGGTTTGCAGGTGTCCAGGCTCTGACTCGGAGGCACTGTGCTCGCGGGCTGCCCAGGAACTGGCCAGCGTGGGAGGGGTGAGGGTCCCTCTAGCTCCACTGTAGCCCAAGCCCAGGTTCCCCAGAGGATGCGGTTCTGGGGACCCTGGGGAATGAAGAGGGGCAGCAAGGTCTGGACCCCGGGCCTCCTGGCTTCCTGCTCCCCTAGGTACCGCCCCTCTAGGCACTCCCAGCTCCTCACCAGGGCGGGCTGGGTGAGACAAAAGCTATCAGGGTGCTCCAGGCCATGTCCCCCAGCACTGAGGGGCAGCCCCTGTGTCCCAGTGGATCAGAGATTCACTTACAGTTGTGGGGAACAGGGGTCCCACTGCACCTGCTTGCCACGTACCCCTGTGCACACGACAACTGGAGGCAAAACCGAAGGCGTGGTCTTGCCCCTGGCTCCTGGGCATCTTGGCAGAACTGTCAGAGGAGGGGCTGAGGGTGGCACCATCTAACGGTGCACGGGTGCAGAAACACACAGAGGAGAGGGACAGGCAGTGAGGACCCCAAGGCCCAAGGCAGAGCCCCCCGTGGACAGCGGAACACAGCACCAGGCCTGGGGTGGGGTGGGGGGGCAGACCTCAGGGCTCCACAGATGCCCCCAGGGAGCCCAGGCCACTGCAAGGGTGGCCAGGGTCCCCCACTGAACAGAGACGTGTCTACCTCAGCCTCATCCAAAGAAGAGCATACCTAGTTCTCAGTTTCTGGAACTGCTTCCTGGAATCTTCCCTGGGGGTTTTCACTAGAGGGGTGCAGGAGCGAAACTGTGGGTTCCAAGCATGTCCTCAACATCGGCCTGGGATTCTGTGGGAGAAATGGAGGTCTCCCTGGAAAGAGTCAACCTACAGTTTGAGTCGCCAGCCTTGTAATTCTATAGCTTTGGTTCCTGAGTTGAATAGCTCAGCTCTTAAAACATGCGTGTTGAATGAATGCATGACGTTCTGAACTCTCTATCCAGTGCTCTTTCTTTAGCTAATGCCCAGAGGAGAAGCTCAGGGTAGGGATTATCATCTGTCATCAGGAGTCTTGTTCCTTAACTGTGAGGACCCCAGAGCTAGGGCCACCTGGGCCTGTGAGGGTCCCCTGCAAGCAAGAGCCCTGTGTTTGAGTCCACCTCCCCCCTCTGGCTGGGGCGCCCCTCCAGGTCAGCAAGCACCCAACCGCCGGCAGCAGTGGCAGGGCGCGGCCAAGAAAGGGTTAATCTGGCTGCGCCTTTCATCAGCAGCTTGGCGGGCTCCCAAGGCCCACAGGCTGGGTACCTGGGCGCCTACCTCGCCGGTGGGGCGGAGACGCAACCACAGGGCACCCTGCCGTCTGCATTCCTCGCGCGTGAGTGACAGCTGCGCGGCCACGCCCGCCGCGCTGGGGAGGGGCGGGCCCACCGCGAGGAGGGGGAGGGGAGGGGAGGGGGGGGGAGGGGGGGGAGGGGAGGGGTGGGAAGCAGTCGCCCCTCTTGACGGCCCCTGGTTAGGAGGGGACCGGTTCTAGGAGAGGGATCAGGAAAACTGGAGGAGCCAGGACTCTGCGATCAGAGAGGAAGCTCAGCGTTGGGGTCAGGATTCGGGAAGGAGAGATGTCCCCCTCTGCCTGGAGGAGGAGCGGTCAAGCCCAGGGAGCTGGCTCTGTCCCCCCAGTGTCCTTTCGATGCTCCAGGACTCCACATAAACGCCAACCCCCCATTACACCGGCTGGAAGGCCATCCTCAGCTCTGCCCTGAACTCACCAGCCCTGCCTTTGATCTCCCCGGGGCCTGCTAGTGCAAACAGGAAGTGGCCTTAGGCTGGAAGCAAACCCCAAAGGGTGTAAACAAGCAAGCACCCCACCTCACCTGGGTGCCCCCGGAAGCCAGGCCGGCTGGGAGCCGACCCAAGATGGGTCCCAGCGTCAGGGACCCTCATGGCACCCCGCCCCCGCCCGCTTCTCCACCAAGCCCTGAGCACCGGAGAGGGGTGCGATTTCTACAACACCTTCCCCTTCGGCCACAGCAGGGGTGCTGGGCTCCTCCAGACTCCGTTCTGAGGTCTCCTAAGGTCATCGGGTCCCCCAGCCTCCTGGGAAAGAGGCAGCTGGAAAAGGGGGCCGGCCGGGCCGCCCAGCCTTAAAATAAATGTGTGATGGCCGGGGATATAGCTCAGCGGCACAAGCGCCTGCCTGGCGAGCTTAGTAAGGTCCTGAGTTTGATTTCCGGTACCAGTAAATTAGTGAAATTCGGAGGTCAAGGGTTTGCCTGGCACACGCAAAGCCCTGTGTTTGATCCCTAGCACTGCCAATCTGACAATAGCACACAGCTCTCCAAGGCCCGGTAGAGCAGAAGAGGTGGACCCGGGAGCCCCCAGCCCCCTCCCACCAGCGCTTCAAGCTCGGTTTTGAAGCCCAGGTTCCACTCTGGCCTCCAGCCTCCCTGCTTGGCTTCTGTGGGCAGAGCCGGGCTGGAGAGGCTGACTGGGAAGGAGGGCTGCTCGGAGAGTGAAGTGGGTGCTGCCGGATCTGCATTTCCTGAAGGCCACAGTCAGCTTTGGAGTCCTGCTGAGGTGACCTCCTCCTCCTTCTCCATCCTTAATGATGTCATCGGTGTCTGCTGAGTCGGGCTGAGCCACCTTCAGGGAGGACCTTCGGACTGCCCATCCCTGAGGGTGAGGCTTACTCCGGCCCCTGAGCTGAACAGTGGCTCAGGAGGAGGGGACCCTACCTTACTCTCCCCCAACTCAGCCCTGGGGCCTATGACTCCATCTCAGTTATCCCATCTCTGAAATGGGATAATAACTCTAGCAACCACACAGTGGGTGTTGGGAGGTTCACATGTTAATTAGAGAAGGTGCTGGGTGGTCGGCGCCTTGGGAGGGCAGGCCAGCCTGGTTTGGGTGACCACACCCCAAGCCTGTGGTCTCCTCTCCACTGAGATAAACTACTAAGCTGCCCACTCCCAGCTGTACTGCGCCCCTTCCTGGAGTCAGGACACCCATCCGACAGCTCAAGCACTGCCTTAGGAGAAAAGCCTCGGACCTCCAAGGACTGGTAAGCATTGGGCTGAAGAAGATCAAATAGGAATCAGCAAGCACATCTCAGAAGAACTGGTTTCTCCTCCGTCCCTCTGCCTGGCCTCTCCGGCTTTTGCTTAGCTAGGGTGACCTATTGTCCTAGTTTGCCCAGGACCATCCTGGTGTTGGCACTGAGAGTCCCACATTGGCAGAAACCCTTCCTGCCGGTGTAAACTGGAACGGTTGCATCCACTTCGTTTCTCAGGACAGGTGTGGTGGCTGCAGAGATCACAGAGGTCCAGTGTCCTTCTCTGCTTATTTCTGATGATGCCATGATGTAAAATGCCAGAGGCCAGAGAAGCTGGCACGGCCCATCCCCCAAAGCCATGTGACCTCACAGCGAAGTCTAGGAGGGGTACCCTTCCCCCAGGTAGCAGTGAGAATGCTCACCCAAGACCTAGATTCCTATGTGTAAGTGGGCACACACACACACACACACACACACACACATACACGGGCACACGTGCTGGGGCTCCCTGGGAGGAGGCTGGCTCTAGGCTGCCATCTGGTGGCTGCTCCTCATAGCAGCGCTTTGCCCAGGTGACCCTTAGGTCAGGTTCTTTTAAGTAGCCCCAAATTGTCTTTGACACTGGCAACCTGGGGTCACTGCTGGGGGAGGAAGATCCAGGCTTTGAAGGCCACACCCCTGTGGTACTCCCTTGAAGCCATTTCTGGGGGCCCAATCTGCCAGCTGCGCAACAGCCGGCCACCGGCATTTGGAGGGGCGCAGAAGGGGTGAAGGAAGTGGGGGGCAGGCCTTCCCTTCTATAGGCCCAGCTGTTTTCTTTTAGAAAACACCAGACCCCTGCCTCCTGCACCACCAGGCACCCGCATACGTGTCTCCAAGCTTACAGCACAGCCTCACTGTGCAAGGCAGGGAACCAAGATCCAAGGCCACGCAGGTGGGGGAGCTCGGTGAGGGGTGCACCCCCACCTGTGCTCAGCTGTGGGGCGCTGCACACAGCTGCACATGGGATGTACAGGTGACTGGGCCTGCCGGGAGCTGGGCGTCTCTCACTGTATTGGGTCCGGGGAGTGGGAGGGCGCCTGGCCTTGGGCCTCTCGCTCAGAGCCTGGCCCCCCAGGCTGGCCAGAGAGCTGTCAAATCCCCCACTATAGAGACAAATGGAGCCGTCAGAGAAAATAGCTTCTAATGGGGTGCAGGAGCCAGGCTGGGCTGGGTTAGGGGGAGGCCTCTGCTGGCCAGATGTGAATTCTTCACTAATCATACCAAATTGGCCCAATTTGTTCCCTGACACGTGGGGGGACCAGCTTCATCTTTCTCTCACTGAGCACCGCCCCCCCCCCCCCAGCTTCTGCCCTAGTGATGGGACTGGCCACTGACAGCCCGGCTAGGGGAAAGGGCTGGCCTTGCCTGCCTCCCATCTTCACTGGCCCCTGGGTCCTGGGGTAAGGGGGAACAGGACGGGGTTGGACATCTGCTCCCTTGAGATGGAGAGTGCAGGCAGGTTCTTGGGAAGAGCTGGGAGGGCTCTTGGGGAGACTAGGGAAGGCTTTAAGGGCACAAGACCACGTCACCTCTTCAAGGCAACGATTCCCTGGGTCCTTCCAGGGTACAACACACATGGTGGTAACGGGGGCAAAGAGAGCCTCTGTCTCTGGCTGTGGCAGTGCATGCCTGTCATTCTTAGCCTTCTGGGAGGCAGAGGCAAGAGGACTGCAAGAATGAACTCAGTCTGGGCAACTTAATGAGACCCTGTATCAATAAAAGCCTGGGGATACAGCTTAGTGAGAAGGTTCTGAGTCCAATCCTCAGTAATGAAAGAGAGACAGAGCCAGAGACAGAGAATGACTTTGTACCTTCCTAATTTCTGAGCTCATCCCTTTAATGCTGGCACCAAAAACCACAGGCAAGTCCCTTTTGACCCCATGCGCACATGCGCTCTGGGTCGGGTTCTCAGAGGCTGGCTGGGAGGAGTGCGGATGGAGTGGGAATGGTGGCCTGGCCTCTTTGCCACCTCTGTGTCCCATGCCAGGAAAGGAAGCTGGCACTCCGGGCCAGCACCCAAGGTCGCCAGTCCCAGCTCCTCTGCTCCCTGACCTCCTGCCTCTCACTGACGCCTGGGGCCCAAGGGTTTGGGGCCAGGCAAGGACTAGAAAGAGGATGTGCAGGGTAAAGCCCCTTGCCGGATGCTGACATTAGATCTAGACATTTAGGGCAGCAATTCTGGGGTTCTGGGGTATAGAGGGGGATCATGCAAAATCTCTGTGGCTCCAGGAGAGACCTGGCTGCAAAGTGGTCAGGACAGGGCTATTGAGGCCGGAGTCAAGGGCCCAGGGCAAAGGCCTTGGCTGCCCAGCCCAGCCAACTCTAGGGAAGCAGGCTGCTCCTCTTTTTTCCACCCTGAGGCCAGGACGTTCCTGGCCCTGGGAATGAAGCTTAAGAACTTTCCCAGATCACCTTTCATCCCCAATCCCAAACCTTCGCAAGGCTCTATCCTACTGCAATCAGCACCCCGCCTGCCCCAGGAGGACATTCCAGTGCAGGAAACCTGAGGGGTGTCGGCCGCCCCCACCTGCTCTCAGGTGGGCCAGGGAGGCACCTGGCCAAAGGCCTTCGGACCAGGCTGCACCTGCCCTGGTGAAGGAGCAGGACAGAGCTGGAAACAAGCTTAGGAGGGGGTCAGGGGCAGCTGACCCTGCAGGGAGAGAACAGTCAGTCCCGGGAACAGACGGAACAGAGGGCAACATGTGGGCCCGCTGCCTCCCGCCCGCCCTCCGCTGACTGGATATTTAAGGGCTTGAATTTGCCTTGTGCATGCTAGGCAAGTGCTCACACTGAGCTGCACCCCGGCCCCTTAACTTGATTTTTTTTCAAAGCCCTTACTTACTCCTCCAGATCTCACCTGGCGCCCTAAAGCAAGGTTCTTCCTCCCCTCCTTTCTAGTTCTCCCTGGCTGAGCAGAGCGCCCCCTCCTGGCAGGGGTAAAGACTGGAATTCCGGGGAGCCCAGCCCAGAGAGGAAGGACAGAGAGTCCCTAGATTTCTCCTAAGCACACTCCCTACCTTTTGGTTTCCCGCATAGTTCCCTGCTGATCAGTGGGCCTGGAGCGCTTTCCAGGCCCTCGGAGTCATGCTGACCTGGGGTAAATAAATTCTAGTTCCCCAATGTTCTTGCTCTGTGACCCCCACCTAGCATTAAAGTCACCTTCAGTGATAATGTAAACTGAGAGTCAGTTTCCTCATCTATAAAGTGGGGAGTCAGCTTCGGGTCAGGGGGTGAGGGAATGGGCTTGGGGGGGGCGCTGCTTACAGTTTTGTCTGATTTTATTACAGACCCTCGGGCACCATCTGGATTGGGTATCCAAGTGGGGTTACCCAAAGTCCCCGCTGCCTGGGTTTATCTCCAGGGTTAAATGAGTTAATCCATGCGTTCCCAAAATGCAAGGCAGGACTCCTCCTCCGGCTGGTGCCACCCTTTTGTCACATGGCTGCCGAGGCACAAACCTCTGCCCTCCCCAATCTTATGCCTCCACTGCCCCAGTCCTTGGCTTCCTTGGCAGTGATCAGAAAGCTCCTGCTCTCTGAGGGCACTGTCACCAAGGCCAGAGTGACTCCAGGGAGGTTCTGTGCTGTCCTCAAAGCTCCCGGGCCCCACCCTGGCCCAGGTTGGAGGCAGCACCTCCCCTCCCACCTCTGCCTCCTGGACTGAGCCTTCTCGAGTCCCTGCCCTGCTCCCAGCCTGTGACCTCCGGTCTCGGCCTTCCTCTCTTGCCACTCTGAGTGGACACCCGGGCCACTCTCTGTCTCCCAGGAGGCACGGTGGTGGCGTGCAGACCAAACCTGCAGCAGACTTGGGTGGAGCGTCGGGTGCCAGGCCCAGCCCATGCTGGTGGCTCAGGACTTCTCCTGCTGAAACCCGCCACCTCCCTAGGCCCCGTGGTCACACACTCATCCTCTTCCACTGCTGCCAGGAAGCACGGAGCTCCAAACACCTTTAGCTAGAAACCAACACTCCCTGCTTTGCTCCTGTCCTGGAAAGACTGTCCCAGCTTGTCTCCGAGGGTGGAGCCCATAGTATTTGCCTAGGTGCTGGTCCTTTCTGGACAGTCATCCTCTGACCCCTCGGGCTGACCTATCCTCATTCTGGAGCAGCTCCTGTCCCCAATGATAGAAGAACTGCCAGGCACGGTGGCACAGTCCTGTAAGTCCAGCATTCTGGAGTTCAAGGCCAGCCTGGGTTACATAGTGAGGCACTGTCTTGAAAAAATATATAGTCCCATCAGGTATTCTAATATTCTAGCTCCTCCCTTAGCATACAGACCTCACTTTAGTGAATCAAAAGCTCACCACATGATAGAAGAAGAAATGCAGCGGGCTGTGGGGAAACTGTTTGTTAATGTTGCGGGGGTGGGAGGGGGCTCTGAGCAGGACTTGGGGAAAAGCTGGTGGGGAGATGGCGCCCACAGAACTCCTGCCCACGTGCACTTTCCTTTCAGGCCTTATCTGTCGGGGCAATGCACACTTATTCCACATCTGCTCCAAGGGCCTTTAGTACAAAGAGGAGGTTCTGAATATTTCAAGCTGAACTATTTTCTTTTTCTCTCATTCCTTGGGCCACATAGACACACTAGAAAAATGCCCAGTGGCTTTGGGCATCCCTGCCATAAGGCCCTGTGTCCTGGTCACAGCCACGTCCCCATGTGAGATGCTTGGACTGAGAGACAAGGGAGGCAGAGGAAGCCGTGAGGAGTCTGGGGACAAATTCTAGTCCCTTTCCTGGGGCTGAGCGGGGCATCTTCTCCCCTCCCTCCCTAAGCTGACCTTTTCCTGAGACCAAGTTCTCCAGCCCTCACTCCCCAGCAGCCCTACGGAGCCCGGATTTTTCTGCAGCTGGAATCCAAACACCTTCTGCATCTCTCCCCAGCTGGTCCAGGCCTTTGTGTCCACCCAGAGCAGCCCTAAAAGGAGGCGGGCACACCTCACCGCCCTCCTACACAACAGCATTCTTTATCTGCCATCACTGCGCCTCGGTTTCCTCATCTGGGACCCACGAGGTTCAATCTAGGTCTCTTGGGATCCCTCCCACAACAAGAATCTTAATCTCCTAGGAGAAACTGGAGGCCTGGCTAGAAAGTCAGTCTCTCTGCCTCCTAACTGACATTCCTCCCTTTACCCATCTTTGCTAAGCCGTGACTCTATGCCCTGCTGGGTGCCAGCTGCCAGGGCAGCAGGTGGGGACCGTGGTTCCCACTCCCGGCAGACTCCAAGGCTGGGCCGCATTGGGCCAGACCTTTTTTATTGCTAACACTCGACTTATCTCATAGTCCCGGAGCCTGGGAGAGCTGACCAGGTGAGCCAGCTCTGTTTCCCGCTCCTGGGCTGGGGGACACCGGGCTGAGACACAGGAGCACGCCATCACTGAGTGCTCGCTGAAACCCAGATGGCTGGTCTGGGCCCAGCCTCTGCCCTCCGTTCCCCCACATGGTGAATACACTGCACAGCAGGCCTGCCGGCCCTGTGCTCTTGCGTCTCGGCCTGCAGGACCTCAGGCGGGTCACCTGCATTCTCTCTGCTCCCCAGTGCTGCCCTCGGGCCATGCCAATGTGCCTAAGCAAGCGAGCACCCACATGGGGTCTTTCGATTTGCCTGGATTGATGGGACTCCTATATTCAAATGGCTGCTCCCCACCCCCTTCCCTCAGTACTGGGAATGACCAGTACAAGCGCTTGGGCTTGTGCACTGAGCTACAGCTGCAGCCTT